CCCCAGCCAGCCATGCTGGCTGGGGAATTCTGGGAGTTGAAGTCCATACATCTTTGGGTTGCCAAGATTGAGAAATACTGCTCTAGATGCAGTGAAAATCTGTTGTAGTCCATCCACCTTACTACTCCTCCAACCCCATCGATATATAGCCGTAAGGGCATTTTTTCTGCAGTATCTGACAGAACTAAAGCCAGATCATTTTTTCTATATAGCAAACATTTGGTTATCTATTCCTAGTTTCTAGGACAGGTCCTCTTTAAGTGTATAATTAAAAGAACTACAGTGAAACCTTGTTTGAACAGACTAATTGGGGGAGGGGGCTGTTATTTCCAGAAATTCAGTAAATCAAAGGGTATGCCTTCACAGTGATGCAAACAAATAATATTGCTGGCACCCTTTATGCCAATGACATGCACTGACAGACGTAATGTAATTTGTATCATCTGCATAACAATGTCTTTATGCAAATGGAAAGGGAGCCAGAAAATCAAGGTTTCCCTGTTTTAAGTGTAGTGCAGTCACTGGGACTCCAGACTTGAGATGACCTACTTACCTGTGGGCTTCTGATGAGGACTGGCGAGGACCAGAGGCCGTCCCAGAAATAAATGCAGGTCAAAAACGTAAGGGGTCTCATCTGGAGCCACAAGGGAGTAGGCTGTTCCACTCCTCCCCGCACGGGCCACTCTGCCTGCAGAGAGAAGACGAAATGCCCACATGATTCAAGCACTGAATGGGGCTTTTGCAACCATATATCCCCACCAGCTTTGCAAAGGTGTCATAATCAATGGGCTGTTCATTGCCCGTTCTGGAAAGTCAAAAGGTCTTGCACTGAAGATGTTACCCAGCTGGGTAATGAAATGTTTGCAAGAAAACAACCAAGCTCAGAGAACCCAAGGACTCCAAAGATCTTGTCTTCCATGTGTTTTTTGGATTGCCACTTCTGAGTCCCGTGGCCAGTGTAACGGTATGTGGGAAAGACTATGGGAGATGGGGTGAAGAAACGCTGCCAAGGGAATGGTCAGACAAGAGACAGCATAGCCCGCAGCTGGATAGTGGGCAGGGCAAGAGGCTCAGAAGGGGTCCTCCCTAATTTCTCGGGCTGTAAAGGAGACGGGGGCAGATTTGTACTTGCAATGATTCTCTCAATGTAGCTTTACAATAAAGTAGAATTAGCTCATCTGGTTGTGATTCCTATCTGGTTTACCCTGCGAGGTCGACATCAAACTTGCAGATCTGAAAGTACAATTCTCCCATTTCCTTTACAGCCCAAGGTAGTCCAGACAAGAAGCGCATCCAGAAGTACTAGCTGTATCTTTATTGTAAGGTTACATTAACAGGATCTTGCAAGTCTAAAAGTACATCTCTTCCCCTGTTGCCTTTACAGCCCAAGAAACTAGGAAGAGTTCCTTCTGAGATGTTTGCCACGCCCTCATTCCTTTTCCGGGCTCAGCTGCCTCTTATCTGACTGTTGCCTAGTCTGAGGCTCTTCCCCCTGTCTTCCAAGGCCATTCCCACATGCTATTACATTCACCCAGCTTCAAATACATGAGGGTTCTTGGCTATAGCAGTAAGTACGATCATAAATAAAACTGTGCAAGGCTCCAGACTTCAGGAACTCACCGACGCGGTGCAGAAAAAGCTTGGGCTTGGCTGGGAAGCTGTAGTTAATCACATTATCTAGAAGGGGGATATCAATCCCCCGGGCGGCCAGATCGGTGACAATCAGCACAGAGCATTTGCCGTGAGTGAACTTGCCGATGTTGATTTTGCGAGCAGTCTGATCCAGAGAGCTATAGACATGTGTGCAGTTCACCCCCTGCATCATCAGCAGCTGCAAAAATACCAATCCATTATGCCAGGAAAAAGTCAGTGAGACGTGGAAATCTGAAGGATGGTTCACACTAAACGCTTGAGCCAAGAATGTTTTTTTCCCCTTTCCCCTCCCTTTTTATTTCCTTAGTGCAGACAGTTTTAGTTCTCATCTGGACCCCAAGAGAAAAGTCAATCTCGTGTGGAAAAATGCCCCCCTCCCCAAATTTTGTGCAAGCAAATGCACTCTGAACAAATACGGCCCCCAAATGTCCCCAGCTAGATTCTTCCCTCTTTTCTATGGGATTTGTCCTCCTTCAGGGCTCATCTGGGCAGAGCTTCTGAAAGGACCACTGTTTTGTCTCTCTTCATAAAGTAGAGAGATTCTCCATCAGCGTGGACAGAAGTGCCTCCTTCTTGGAGAAAGTTGGAAGAAAAGCTGTGCCAGTTGCAAGAGGGTTGAGTCAGGGTCAAGTCTTTCGAGCAGCTGGCTTCCTTAACATTAATATCATGCAACCTGACAGGAGGAGAAGACAACTACCTCCAGACACAGACCAGATTAGGTTCTCCAACCCTTCCTTAATAAAATACAGTGATGGAACATCAAAGGATGCAGCAAAAAATAGTCTTAAGGAGATCTGTAGTGAAAAAGATACCATCAGGCATAATGCAAACCCTCTCCTTTCCCCAGGCAGCTGGGAACCATGCACATACCTCTTTCAGATATTCTGTGTGATGTTTGGTGGCCACAAACACAATGGTCTGGTCTTGTGGCTTTACCACTGTCCTCAGCAGATACAAGAGAAGGGACGGCTTGTCATCAGCACGCACGTGATAAAACGAGAGCTAGGGGACAGGAGGTTATTTAACACCAATTGCTCTAATTTAGTTCTCTTCCTGCCTGGAGGACTTATCTCAGCAACAAAGACCTGGGGTGCTGCCAATGTTTTTTGAACCATAAATCCTTTGCCATCGCCTCCGTTTTTAGAGAGTTATCCTACTGATGGATAGAGAGACAGAGTTTCCAGCCCCTTGACAATATCTTTCCAATGTTCTGCAGGGCTGGAAAGAACAAAACTCATACAGCCATGCAACCAACAGGTCTTCTATCTTCATATGAAGGGGCAGAGGACAGATGTCCGCTTAAAGCTATTACAATCAAAATTAAGAAGTCCAGAGTTTCATAACAGCTTCTTCCCTCCACCCCCAAGATTGGGGCATTTAATCTAGTTCAGCTATTATTCTGGTTGGATTGGAGTAGCGAAGAATTCAGCACATGATCCTTCAGTACCTCCTCCTTGGTAAGCTGGAGCAGACTGTTCTCTATGCCAGCTTTGTGGTAAAATTTGCCATGCGGTAAAATGCACAAGGCCTTTTCCAAACAGCTGTCCGGCTTGACTTTAAATACTCCGATTTTAACTTGGAACTATATACGTGTCTACCTCTCTTGCAAAGAGTCGAGAAAAATAGGGCAAATGTAACTAATCAATCAATAATGAGAAAAATAACAGGCCACCCAAGATCCCAGAAACCCAACTCTTCCACTGAATCAACTCTGCCCTGTTCCACGTTATGAGGAGCTGGTGACCATTCCCACCTTGAGTTGCTCGCTCAGCTTGGACTCCACATCCAGTCGGATTAATACCGGCTCTGTGAGGCCTGAGAAGAAAGGGAGAGGAAGACTCTGTCAGTCACCATTATGAGAAGGCTCCGCAACAGATTACAATATAATTGAGACGTTAAAGGCACAGAATACTGTTAGCCAAGGAGGAAAAAGACGAGATGATCTCAGCTAGCATCAAACCAAGGAAGAGAGTCACATCAGAAAGAACACAACACACTGCCTGAATAACATCCAGTTTCAATAGAAGAGAAGATCTGGAACTCAGTGTTGAACTGTGGAGTCCTTGGGGTTCTCTGAGCTTGGTGGTTTTCTTGCAGACGTTTCGTTACCTGGCTAGGTAACATCTTCAGTGCTAGCTTAACATCCAGTTCTCCAACCGCCCCTTGAGAAGATACAAATATACACTGCCCAGACAATTCTCTCACCAGCTTGAGCGAACTCCACAAGAAGTTTGGGCAAGGTGGCAGAGAACAGCACCGTCTGGCGACCATCAGGCAACCTCGAGACGATCTCCTTCAGCTGCTCTGCAAAGCCCATCTCAAACAGCCTGGCAGGGTGAGAGGAACAAACAGATTCAGCAGGAGATCAGAGAGCCTCAGATTTTCCCACCATTGCCAAAGATCCAGCTATTTCACTTCCCAGGGCAATGGTGGCTCTACCCCATGACGAGAGTCAACTTTTCTCCTTCCCAACTAAACTTCTTTTAGGCATGGAAGTTCCCTGGATGACTTTGGGGGACAGTCCCTCTCTCTCTGCCCAAGAGCTAAAGTGGTATAGTGACAAAGGTGCTGGAATAGGAGCAGGGAGACCCAGCTTCTAGTCCTCCCTTAGGCATGGAGGCCAACTGGTGATGTTTTCTCAGCCCATCATCAGCACTGGGCTCTGTGACAAGCCGGCTAAAGAAGGAGCCCCCTCATCCCATCATGCATGGCTTTACTGTGTCAACTAGGCCACTGAAACAACAAACAGACAAATGCTAAGAAGAAGAACAGCAGCAAAATCTGGCCGGTCTTGATATGGAGTTTGAATGACTTTGGCAGATCTGTCTCCCAAGGAGACAGTATAGACAAGCAAGCTCTAAAGTTTGCTTTTTAAAGTTATTGACAAGGGTCAGTGTCTTTCTCCCCCTCACCCCCAAGATGGAGGAACCCAAGGGTCCTGCCGCATTCCCCTCCGGAGGGTGGGGAGGAACCATTAGGGAGACGCACCCACCTGTCTGCTTCGTCAAAAACCACGTACTCCACGCTCTGCAACTTCAGCTTCATCTCTACTGCCACGTGCATCAGCCGACCGGGAGTTGCAATGATTCTGCGCAGAAAGCACAGGGCACGGATTGAAGCAGCAGCTATTTCTCTCACCCGGTTGAGGCCAACGGGGGCTGCACGGATGCCCCCATCCAGCACACCCACATTGGAATTACTGGGTCTTTTATTTAGAGATCTCCATTTGGAAAGCCACCCATGTCCTCAGTGACCACCGCCTACATTCAGGCCCGCAGACTTACATATCGGGGTTTTCATGCAGGGCTGCAAACTGATCTTCCATCCTATTAGGAAAACAAAACGAAAAAATTCAGAGGCTACTTAAGAAGAGAAGAAAATAATTTATTTCTTGCCTGTAGTTTTCAGCAGGCAGCTGGGCTTACACGGCCCTTGGAAACTCTCCCAGGGACCCAATGAATTAGATCCAGAGAAAAAAGCAGGGAGCCCCAGATTTATTTCTTTTTTTCCCCACCTTTTATTGTCACATTTTTAATCTTGATACATTGGTATTATTCCAATGCAGATTTCAGTGCAGAAGTGTTTCTATGATGAAAAATGATTAACATCCTATTATTTAGAAAGCTTAAAGGATTGAAAATAAAAAGAGAAAAGCAAACATTCAATCAGTATTAATTGCAATTTAGGATGTCAACATTACAAGCTGCCTTGCCTAACGACCATGGGATTCAGTTAATGACAACCACCAGGACTTCAGGGATTGCCATCGCTAAGCGATGCGGCTGCGCTTGACGACTGCATCACTCAGCGATGGAAATTCCGGTCCCAAATGCCGTCATAAGTCGAGGACTACCTGTAGTCATGAGTCCCAACTACATCCGGAAATTGGAAGGATCTGGCAGGGTGTCTTACACTTTACAACATTCGTCCTGCTTGTGCAGGTCTGGATTCAAGTCTGCCATGCTTATTTTTGGTGTCCTTGCCTCCGACATACTGATGCTCCCCCAAGACCATCAATGGGGAGGAGGAGGAAAGTTGTAGAACTACAACTCCCAGCATTCCTCACCTTTCACCAGGCTGTCTTGAGGCACTGGGAATTGTACTTTAATAGGGGAAACCAGAGACAAAATCCTTGGGGTGGGGGGCTAGTTGTGCCATTCCCAAATTAGCCATTTCTGGCAATGCTAGACTCAAATCTGCATCTTCCCCACCCAATCTTGCCAATGGTCAGAGATGATGAAAATTGTAATCCAACTTATGGGTACAGAGAAGTAGATCTGTTAGAAATGTATTACATTTTTAAGCCATAAAAGTAAGAACAATTAAGAACAAGACTTAGAAATGTCATTTTAAGCAATAAAAATTATGAGGGTGCAGATAAGACATCTTAAGCACAGATAATATATTTGTGCATGCACCCAGACACACCACTTACCTGTCTCCTCCAAGAATCAGGGCAGTTTTTAAGCCAGTAAACCGACCCAGCTGCAGGAGGAGAGGAAGGAGAATTAAAAGCCGGCTTAGCTCATATTTGATTCCAAATTTCACTCCACTCTCTCAGCCTGCAAAAATGGAGCATGCTAGTTTCTCTCTCTCTGCACAGGCATTGAGCCATCTGCCCCGGGAGGAGCTTTGGGAAGACCAAGGAGCCTTGTCTAGAGACTTCATCCAATTCCTTCAAGGCAATTCCTGCCAGGTTAAACCCTAATCCTTCGGGTTAGGCTCTGTTCTTGAGCTTAGGAAATGGGGCAAACTCAGACCTGTTGGTCTATTTTAGCAGCACTCAGAGGCAACTGTCCTTCCAGTTTCTAGGTCTGTGTAGAGAATAAGGAAGGCGAATTTGATGGAAATAGGCAAGAACCATTACCCAGGCAAAGGGGTCTAAAGCAATTTTAAGCCAACAGGAGCCAGAGAACATTCAGAAGTAGCTCACGCAGAGACCTCCCTAACTCACTGAACTATAAGGAAGAGGAAGAGGAGGAGACACAGCAGAGTCAAACTTTGGAGTCCTTGGGGTTCTCTGAGCTTGGTTGTTTTCTTGCAAACGTTTGCA